TTAATCACCAAACATCAACTTTAAATTGTGGGACAATGCCACAACTGCGAGCCAAGCTTCTGCGGTGCAACACCATGGATCTCAATGGGCGAGTTTGACAAACAGTTCCACCTTCTGTAGCCCAAGTTAAAATTGCCAAGGGCATGAGGCAAAGCATAGCCTGTCTGCAATGTTAGAATTCTGGTGGGTGGCAAACTGTGGCTACGACTCCTGTTTTTACCACCCTCTTACAGTCAGTGTAAACAAGCCCTAACATCATCACTCTTCAGTAAAAACAGCATGGGTAACTTGTGATTACAATATTAGGTGACTATAATCACATATGACAGATTGCCTGCCTTGAAACACATTCCGTTCTTTTTCCTATTTTTTTAAAAAAATAAATTCCTTATTTAAACAACGGTAGAACAGACAGTTACTGGCAATGAAATTCAGTGGTGTTAGAGTTACGCAAGCATGGTTTACGTCTTCAAACAAATATTTTCTACTGTATTTCACTTATTAAAGAAAGTCAACATATATGTTTACATCCATTGTGTATAAAGTGATGGCAACTGCACATTCCATTTTACTGGGTCTTGTGATCACGCCATATGACAGAGGCTGCAGGAATTATACAATATAGTATTAGCACACTCACTTGTAGTCTCCACCAGAGGCACAAACGTTTTTTCATGTGTACATTTTAAAGCCTTGCAGTTCTAATGATAGGGTTTTGATCTAATTTAGATTAGCTCATTTGATCTCCTTTTCTTCCAATTCTGTTTAGAGATTAGTCGCCCATGAAGCTCTGGTTTTCTCTAGTTGATCTAGGGATCCTTTCATCCCAGGGTTTTTCTTAAATAGCAATATATAAAGAATTCTGCTACATATTAATCAGACATATACAGATGTATTATTCAGATTATGAAGTAGGAGATTTTGGGTTTAGTTAAAATTGTTAGTGCCCATTCAAACCTTTCCATGTGTGGTAATGCACATGTTAATGTCCATTTCTAGTGTTAAACAGCACGTATTTAAAGTAGTTCTAAAGGCTGGAGGTTTTTTACATACATGCTTTCTCCCCCCTCAGCCACCCCAATACTTACCAGAGCCTGATCCCATGATGTGCATGAGAGCAGAAGCTCTCCTGGGTCTCTTCCTCCTCATTGGCTCTTGGCTCCCACTGCTGTCAATCACAGCCAGCGAGGAGAGAGTGGGCAGGATTATAAACACACAGGGGTGGCTTGGGAATAAACACGTACGAGTGTCCCCACGGCACTCAGCCAGGGGGAGGAGTTAGGAGCACTGGAGGGGACCCCGAGAAGAGGAGGATCGGGGCTGCTCTGTGTAAAACCATTGCACAGAGCAGGTGGGTATAGCATGTTTATTTTTAAAAGATAAAATCTGAGCACTGAATATAACTTTAAAGTGTAAGTCCAGGCTTTTCTTAACTATGCCTAAACCTGCTCCCACTCCCATTCTAACTATCCTGACAGAAAGATGTGTATACTAACATATTTTCAGGGTGCTCCGGTCCAGTCACATGATCTTCCCTGTAGCCAGCATCAGGGGAGGTGAGAGTACGCTGACAATGGCTGAAATGTCTGCGTGGTGATGTCACCCATTGGCTTACTATGTGGCATCCGTTTTTGGCTGTCCCACCTCTCCCTGAAGCTGGCTGCTGGGAGCAGATCACATGACTAGAGAAAAGGTAAGTATAAGCATCTTCTTTCTACAGGGTACTTAGACTAGGAGTTAGAATGGGGATGGGAGCAGGTTAAAGCATAGATAGGATAACCTGGACTTGCATTTCAAGTCTTCAAAATGGGCAATTAATGATCTGCAAAAAAAGTACCAACTCCATGTTAGGTAATGCAGAGCACCACAACATGCTGTATTCAGATCTATCATAAACTAAAGCGCAAGTCAATGAATGACGTTTATGTACGATAAGAACAAGTGTGTACTCAGAAATTGGAAGGGAAGGAGCGATTGCAAATGATCTGACTACCTAGCCCAGGGGTAGGCAACCTGCGGCTCTCTAGCTGTTGTGGAACTACATTTCCCATGAGACATTGCACAATTGACAGTTACAGCTATGACTTGCAGAGGCATGATGGAACTTGTAGTCCTGCAACATCTGGAGAGCCGCAGGTTGCCTACCCCTGACCTAGCCTATTACCTGAGCTTGACTTGAGCCGGCTATACATAGATTGAAATTTGGCTGGTCCCTGCTGATGCCCATGTATGGGCAGGGAGGTTGTAAAGAAGTTTATCTTCTGGTAATTTTGTTCATTCAGCCTACTGGTTGAAAAAAAAAAAAAAAAAAGACTCATCTAAGGGTAGCTTAAGAGAGTCTCAGCAATTCCTTCATTGTGTGTGGTGACCCCATCACATAGTTCAAGCTTTCCTATAGGTCTGCATGCCCCTATTTACAGACTATTACAGGGTTTATAAAGTTGGTTATTATTGCTGTGCCTATTGGGAAAATTTCTCCTCACTTCTGTCAGAAGACGTTATGAAAAGTCTTATTAACGGAAACATTTTTAGTAGCATGGGGAAGAATGAGAACTTCTGACAATGTTTTTCTTGATGGCTGTATCTTTTTTGTCCCAGTAACAACAGCTTCACAGTTTTATATGTGCATCAATATTTTGTTGTGGTGAATATTTTGTTTTACAAATGGGCAGGGATTAGACTTTAAAGGGTGAGCCATACATATATATATATATATATTTTTTTTTTAAACAGAAGAATATATATACATATATATAAACTTTTTTTTAATGTTATATTTTACAAGAGCTATGAGTGCAGATAAAAAAAAAAAAAAAAAAAAAAAAAAAAAAAAAAAAAAGTATCACTGAACAGGTGCCAATGTTATTCCTTTTGTAGTATTTGTTTCATAGAATGTAAGGTGTTGTGCAATACAACAGTATAATAATAGTGAATGTGTTTTACTTTATTTTCTGGTTTACACTGCTGTGTGCCCTATAGGGTGCAATAAATACTTTAATACTTTCCTGAATGTTGAACTGAAGACTGCTTAATAAATAACCCATCCTGACAGAGTTACATTTTTATTTTGAAAGGATATCACGGGGCAATCAAGGTTACAGCAACAGGCAGTGATTTACTGTAGAATTGTCAGCGTGTCAAAATCAACAGTTGCCCGGCTGTTCCTTAAATAACTGATGGAGGCTTTGGCAGAATTTCATATTCCCACTGCACTTTCAATCTGTCTTTGAGATATGAAACCACTTGTTTGTATTTTTAGCTTAATTTCAGGTATAGTACATCCCTAGACCCAGTTCAGAAAAACTGCCCAGACAAAAATGAAGGAAAGATAATGTTTAGAATTTTGTAGCTTTTAGAATTGCAAACTGCAAGGTTAAAAACCCAGACAATTGCGCACAATGTTGGATCAAGTGTGATTAATTGCTGTTCGTGTAGCTCTCACTAAGAATAATTTGTTCTACCAATGTATTGATCTTAATGGTTAATCTCTAGAGGTATTAAAAGTATGCTGGTTGAGCTACAAAAAAATATAAATGTGCTCATGTGTTTATGCTGCAACTAATATTAAAACGTGCTGCAACCGTGTGCAATGCTGTGCAATTGCAGGGCATTTGTGGCGCTTCCCCATTGACTTGCATGAGTAGTGTTCGGAGGGCTTGCTGCCCGCTGAACAATCCATGGCACGAATCGAAGCATCGTAACAGTGGCATAAAAACATCCCCATCCGCTGCCTACTGCAGCTTACAATGATTCTAAAGGCTTACATTAAAAAAAAAAAAAAAAAAAAAAAAAAAAAAAAAAAAAACATGTCTATAGGTACCTGCTGTGTGCAGTGGTTTTGCACAGAGCAGCCCGAATCCTCCTCTTCTTGGGTCCCCCGCCGACGCTCCTGGCCCCTCCCGCCTGTCGGGTGCCCCCACAGCAAGGAGCTTGCTATGGGAGCACCTGAGAATGCGCACTCCCCAGCCGATGCTCTGTGTGTACCGTGCATCCCTGTGCTGGCAGTCCCATTCATATCAATAGAGACCAAGGGGCTTCACAGATGCTGCACCAAATTTGACAGCTATTTGGTTGCTCCTGAATGCTGACAGTGTACGTCCGGGGGCCCTGCACCTGCATCTGTGTTGCTGTCAAATTTGGAGCAATGGCAATGTCTGCAAAGCTGCTGTGTCCAAACTGACATGACTGGGAATGCCTGCACGGAGATACATGGAACACCTGTGTATCCTCATGCAGGCAAACAGGGCCCTCGCCTGGCTGTATGCTGTAGTATGCCTGTGTGAACGAGGCCTAACACCACTACGAGATTGTATGAATTGTAACTAATAATCTTGATTAATCGTTCTATGATCTCTTATTTATTGGCTGTGCAATGCTTGTGAAAGGTTGGCAGTTTATTATTATTACCCCCTCCCCTAAAAAAAAAATCTTCAGCCTGTACAACCACTTTAAACTTTGCCATCTAAATCGGACTGAGTTCATCTATTTGTTGAAAGATTCCTGAGCGTTATGGTTTAGCTAAAGCGATGTGCAGCCTGCTTTCTTTGTATCACTTAAAGTGGTTGCAAAGGCATAGGGTGTTTTTAACTTAATGCATTCTCTGCATTAAGGTAAAAGACCTTCCATGACCAGCTCCCCCATAGCACCCCCCTTAATACTTACTGGAGTCTCTCTTGATCCAGTATTGTGCCTGAGAGCAGCAGCACTGCAATATATCTCTCTCTCTCCTCACTGGCCATTGGCTCCTGCTGCTGTCAATCAAATCCTGTGGAAAGGAAGCAGAGGACAGGGCTGAGCCATGCTGTGTGTCCATAGACAAGTGGCTTGCTATGGAGACACTCAGAAGGGAGGAGGAGTTGAGAGCACCCCTGGGGGACCCCAGAAGAGGAGGAAAGGGACTGCTCTGTATGCCGGCGAATAATTACCGGACGGGACCCGGGGATCACTGAGTATCTCCGACAGGGGAGAGACCTGTATGTAAACAATACATATCTCTCCCCTGTCAGCTCCTGCACACTGCTTTGTATGGCTCTGCAGAGCCATACAAAGCAATGTACTTACAGTGAAGCACACGCACAGCCCCCATAGTGAAACAGCACACAGTTAACCCTTTGATTGCCCCAGATGTTAACCCTTTCATGCCCAGTGCCGTTAGTACAGTGTCAGTGCTTTTTATTAGCACTGATCACTATATTGGTGGGGATGTCAGTGACACCAAGTCAGTTCCTCCCAGTGTCAGAATGCCAACTGCAGTCCTGCTATAAGTCGCTGATCGCTGCCAATACTAGTAAAAATGAATAAATGCCAGTATATATATGCCGCAATATGTAAACGCCATACCTTTCACGTAAACTAATTAATTTACACGTATTGGGATTTTTTTTTTAGCAAAGACATGTAGCAGAATACATTTTGGCCTAAATTTATGACGAAATTTGATTTTTTAAATTTTTTTACTGGACGTTTAATAGCAAAAAGCCAAAAATAGTTTTTTTTTTTTCGCAAAATTGTCAGTCTTTTTTTTGTTTATAGCAAAAAAAAATAAAAAGCACACAGGCGATCAAATACCACCAAAAGAAAGCTCTATTTGTGGGGAAAAAAGGACGTAAATTTAATTTATGTAAAGCATTGCATGTCCGCGCAATTGTCAGTTAAAGTAACGCAGCGCCGTATCGCAAAAAATTGGCCCGGTCGGGAAGGGGGTAAAAAAAGTGGTTAAACTTTCAAATAAGCCATGTGGTAAGCAACATGTCGCCGCTTTGACTAATTCAATAAATATATAAACATATAAAGAGAAGATGAGAGCTCCATCTGCTGGTTAAAATACTAATAATTCATTACATGGTTAAAATGTTACTAAACCCACAACAGTAAAATCATTCTGTATATGCAGTAAAGCATGCTTGTTATACTCATTGTGGAACTTAAGGGGTTAATCCTCTGCATTGTGTAAAAAGGCAGTTTGATCCTTTTTTCTCTGTTCCTCCCCTTTTTCAAGTGACCACCACTTATCTCCAGACTGAACTGTAGGCATGCACATGCTCAATTTGGTGTATATTGCTAGAGAGGTTTTTTTTTTTTTCTTGGGAGAGTGCATGTGATCAGCACAGGGCCAGACAGAGTTTAGGGGATTTCCATCCTCCTAGACCAGAAGCAAAACTCCTCCTACAAGCTTTAGCTAGTGCTGGGCTGGACACAGATAGAAGCCACAAGACTGCTCTAACTTCTGATGAGAAAAGGTATTTAGCAGTTTATATTTACTAAAATAATTGCATTTCCATGTTGTGTGTACTGTGGGAGAGCAGATACAGTAAATGCAGGGTCCTGGGAGACCAGATATAATGGATGCAGGGTCCTGGGAGACCAGATATAGTAAATGCAGGGTCCTGGGAGACCAGATATAGTAAATGCAGGGTCCTGGGAGACCAGATATAGTGGATGCAGGGTCCTGGGAGACCAGATATAGTAAATGCAGGGTCCTGGGAGACCAGATATAGTGGATGCAGGGTCCTGGGAGACCAGATATAGTGGATGCAGGGTCCTGGGAGACCAGATATAGTAAATGCAGGGTCCTGGGTATAGTAACACTAAGTTCTATTTGCAATGCCTGTGCATTAAAGACGTCACAGGATTAAGTTGCTTGTCTTTCCCTTAATATCTTTGCAGTAGCTGTTAGTGCTCATGTCCATTTCTGTGTCCTGCATCTTCAATAATCATAGATTGGCAGCAATGATAGAAGAACTAGTATAGATGTCAGTAGACTGCAGAGTATGTTATGTTCACTCAAAGTTGCCTAAAAAGTAGACTGCATTCATTCTTTCACAGAAAAGAGATCCGTGAACATTTTTCATCTGTGAAGCTCCTACAATCCATTGACTGAGTAGAGGGAGCTACCTTTCCCATCCATAAAAGTGGAAACCTAAAAAAAAAAAAATCACATTTCTTCACTTCTGAAACATCTGCAGATTTTATGCTTACACCAAGAATGGGTTCAATCCTCGGGCACATTGTAAGCAAAACATCTGCTGGCATTAATACAGAGGTAGGATGTATGAGGCTGCTCTATCTTGCTGTAAGGAGATTCACAACATAATTAAATCTCAAGTCATTTTAGTTAACTATAAAATATCAAACTATGATTTTAATACGTTGTGTAAAATTAACTACAAGCGCAATTTATTCCATAAGAACAGACAGTATAGTTTACACCTCCGGGGTATAAAAACTTTTATCCATATTGTTTAGAGTTTGAGATCTTAAGCAACAAAATTAAACTCTACTAAAGCATAACACAATGAAGTGCGTTTGCTTGTGCTACCTGGAGTATTCTTCATTATTAGCCAGGAGAGCCCTTCAGAGTGATATTACGAGAAGGACTGTCACTGATTATACAAGATAAAGTTGGATTGAACTTCTATTAGAAATGGGTGTGCTAACTCAAAACCTGAAAAAGTCTATAAAATGTCTAAATAGTAGTTGCTTGTAAAGCTTACTTATTGAGTGTTTGTATGCAGAGCTGTAGCTCTCTTTAGGGCTAGGGTGAGGGAAAATGGGAGGGCAGGAGGGGCAGCTGCCCCAGTTTCAGTGAGGAAAGAACAAACAAAAGGAGCACAGGCCTAGGGCATTACCAAAAAAAAATGCTGAATAAGAAATAAAAGTGTTGAACTCAAAAACAACAATAAAGACAAGGCACATCATAGAAAAACAGCTTGGTCAACACCGCACTAAGTTACAGTCCGCAAAAGGGAGTGTAGACATCCAATAGGCTGATGCGTTTTGAGGACTTGCCTCTTCCTCAGAGCTAACTGACCAAATGTCTGCCCCTCTTTTATATGCCAACTACTAGTTGAACCTAGTTGACCCCTCCCCTAAGAGCAGGGGGAGGGGTCACAGGAGCAATTGACATAGTATAAGTAAACACAAGAAATATATATATAAAAAAATCATTGAAACTAGTGACAATCATAAAAACAAAATCATAAGAACCACCAGTTTCAGTACTCTCAGGTGGGCGGCCCAGGTGGTCAGTCTGTGCACTGCTGCAAAAGGGACCCTGGAATTGAATACTGAGCACCACTCTATGGCTCACCTCAATAGGACTACAGCTGCATCCCAATGACTCCACCTTCTTTCCCATCAATCAGAGTAAGCTACAGTACAGAAGAGCAGTGCAGCCTGCTTCAGGTTAACTGGGGGAGTATGCAAGTATGAAAAGTGGGTGCACTGTGTGATGGCTGGAAAGGTACACTGGAATTAATAAATGATGTGAGGGGGCAGTAGAGGATCTCTGATTAATGATGGGAAGCACAGTGAGCAACTGGAGGAGGGGACTACCGATGGTGAGAGGGGACAGCCGCTGCAGGAGGGGGCTGTAACACAGGGTTATTGATGGCTTGGTGGTGGGGGTGCGGTCATAGATAGGTGCACTGTAAATGGAGAATTACATAATGAATAACAGAGTGCTGGTGTTGTTGGGGGGAGGTGCTGTGGCCGATGGGGAAGATGAGCTGTGACAAAGGGGCAGTGCTATGGCTGATTCTAAATAACAAAATAATAAATATATACAGTTGTGCTCAAAAGTTTGCATACCCTGGCAGAAATCGTGAAAAGTTGGCATAGATATTGAAAATATGACTGATCATATTTAAAGATAGTGATCATATGAATCCATGTATTATCACATAGTTGTTTTGCTTCTTTTTAAATCATAATAACAGAAATCACCCAAATGACCATGATCAAAAGTTTACATACCCTGAAATGTTTGGTCTTGGTACAGACACACAAAGGTGTAGGTTAAAATGGCAATTAAAGGTTAATTTCCTACATCTGGGGCTTTTTAAAATGCAATTAGTGTCTGTATATAGATAGTCAATGAGTTTGCTAGCTCTCACGTGGATGCACGGAGTAGGCTAGATACTGAGTCATGGGGAGCAGAAAACAATTGTGAAAAAAGACATGTGCAACAAGGTGATGGAACTTTATAAAGATGCAAAAGGATATATAAAAAAGATATCCAAAGCCTTGAATATGCCAGTCAGTACTGTTTAATAACTTATTAAGAAGTGTCAGAGAAAATTTGGGGATCTGTCAGGGATACAGAGTGTTGGGATCCTGTGAAACAGGTGTGACCAGAAATGTGTGGAATTGCACACCAGGCACAAAAGGTGGTTTCAAGAAGCACAATACGATACTTAAATGAACATAAATGAGCTACATGGTCGACTTGCCAGAAAGAATCCTTTAGTGCTCCAATGCCACATAAAAGCTTGGTTACAATATGCCCGATAAAACTTTGACAAGCCTCACCAGAATTTTTTGTGGCACTGGCGTGGCAAAGGTGGCACATTGAGTCCCTCAACATGTCCAGTAAACATTTACGAAGTTGGCCACCACTATTTCAGATATACAATTGTTCCATCTGCCAGCTTGCTCTTGACTGGTTGTCCCTCATTGTCAGCCCTGCTCCTCCACTCAGTTGACGTGGCCCGGCCTTGTGCCCATGAATAAATTCTGTTTGGGTTTTGATTTCAACAAATCTACATTGTATATTATTTAAAAAAATTTAAGTATTTTCTTGTCTTAAAAGACATCAACTCACATATACTGAACTGAGGGGAGGGGGCTATAAAATCCTAAAGCCAAACTTGGATAATGAATCTAAAAAACTGAATTTTTTGCTATATACTTACCTGTAAAATCCATTTCTTGGAGTACATCACGGGACACAGAGCAGGCTATTCATGACTATGTGGGTTATAGGCCACTTACAGGTGAATGGACACTGGCTGATCAATCAGAGAGGAGGTCCTCACCTATATAAATCCTGCTACAGAGGAAGGAGTTCAGTCTTTGTAGCAAGCAAGGAAATTCCAGAAAGAGGGGTGGGACCTCTGTGTCCCATGATGTACTCCAAGAAATGGATTTTACAGGTAAATATGAGGCAAAAAATCCAGTTTTCTTTATCGTACATCAAGGGACACAGAGCAGGCTATTCATGACTATATGGGATGTCCCAAAGTAATAAGAAATTTGAGGGGAGAATGACACCATGATAGCCACTGTCAATAATCCCTCAGGACCTACTCAGCCTTCCGTAAAACACTGTGGCCAAAGGCAGAATCCCCTGCAGCTCTGATGTCCAACTGGTAGAACCTTGTGAATGTGTGAACTAAAGACCATGTAGCGGCCTTGCAAATCTGAGCCACTGACGCCTGATGGTGGATTGCCTAAGATGCCCCCACTCCTGGTAGAGTGTGCCTTCACCTGAAAAAGGTGGGACCTTACCTTCCAAACCATAGGTGAATAATCAA